TAGCTAATTAATTATTATGAAACGAAATCGAATAACTAGTTAAACTAACTAATTATTTACAACACTTAATTAGCTACAACTAATTAATTACAACATGTATTTAAGCTAGATATTTAAACATTAAATAAGTTCAAAATGCAAAGGAGGCTTATGCACGCGCTCGGTTTCTACCCGAAAAGGCACTGCCTTGCTGCTGAATATCTTTGTTTGCACATCTGAACACCAAAGAATCTGTCCACTTCCAGAACACCTCTGCTCCATCTCAGGAACACACTATGTAAATTTCATTGGTGGCCGACAAGGGGTCGATCGACTACCACTAGTGGCCGGTCGGCTACTAGTGGTGGTCGGTCGGCCACTAATGATATGAACTCCTCTTTTTGCCGCAACAGAGAGCAGACAGAGCAAAACAGTGTATTCTCACAGATTATTTGCACACTTTGCCTCTCCTTTTCATGGGGAGATCAAAGGAGGGACAAAATTTGGGTTTACAAACCATCAATCAAGCAATTTCATTACATGATGGTTTGTGAAACCAATTGTGCAAGTTCAATGAATGCAAAATGAGACCAAAGGACCATCACCCTATCATGCATGATCAAGGACAATGGAGACCAAGGAAAATGGCACATTTCATCACTTTTGAGTATGAAATGTCTCATTTTTCTTGTGTTCGAATTAACGTCTGATTCAAACACATGCAATGCAACATGAAAGATGTTTATCTTGCCTCTATTACTTGCCAATTTTGTTTACTCATTTTAATTACCAAACCATTCCTTAATCAATTAGTCCATTGGTGAGTGCCTTCTAAAGTGAAAGAAGTGTCAACCAAGGGGTAGTTTAAGGCATGAGGGAAGTTTCATGCCATTGGTAATGAACCCTCAAAGGAGGATTAAACAATTAAGCATAAGCCTCAACCTCAAGCTTAAACAACCCTAAGGTTGAAACAACCCTCAAAACAAATGAAAAAGTGAAGAAATGAGGGAGGTTGCAGAGATTGTATGTGCTGAAATTAAGTGATAAAAACACTAAAAACATGTAACCAACTCACACCAATGATGGTTAATGCCCTAAAACACTAAACTAGTGAAGGAATTAACACTACAACTATGCAAAACAAGACTCAAACAAGCTAACCAGCCCAAAACAGAGCTAAAACAGGTTATTTCAAAAGCAAAAACATGCTGGATTTGAGTTAAGTTAAACTAAAAAAACATGCTAACATGTGAAGCTAACTAGGCATGCAAACAAGACATGAGGAGGGGTGGGGAGGCTAACCCCTCCAATTTTGGACGTCAAAACAAGTTTTTGCCTTTGAAAAACCTCTGAAATTCAGTGGTTAAAAGGCCCAAAAAAGTTGGTTTGAAAGTGATGAATAATAGCACAAAAGCTTAACAAACAAAGGAGCAAGAAGGATGGACCATCCCCTAACTCAAAATGACCTCAAACCAACACTTTTAAACCATAAAAACAAAGTTTTTGACAGTCCAAAATCAGCCCAAAAAAGTATGAAAAGATGGCAAAACAAGTGTACAAAACAAGCTTAAAAGACAAGTGTTATGCCTCTTGAAGCAAAGGACAATTCTAGGCACAAATGAGGTACTAAATCAAGCCAAGACCACCTTCTAGAGCTCAAAGAGGCTCCCAAGTAACCTCAGCCCAAAGATAAGCAACTCTGGTTAAGGGTTGATAGGCAAACTAGAAGTATATCTCTACTTGTATGCACAAAAGTTCAAGAGAGAGAGAAATCTAGAGAGAGGCTCCTAAAATTTTTCCAACCTTGAAAACCGTAGAGAATGCCCTCTATATATAGAAAAATGAGAGCCTAGGTCGAAAATATCAATATAGGACAGCTGGAGCAGTGTGGAACAGCTGGAGGGAAAATATCTACACAAAAACTGCCTTCTTTGCACCAATGGCCGGTCTTCCATCACTGGTGGCCGACAGCCACCACCGGTGGCCGACAAGAGTCACCCCTGGCCGACACATGACCGTCAAAGCCCATTCATGGCCGACACATGGCCGTCAAGCCTTACTAGTGGCCGGAAAGCAAAAACTGGTTTCTGGCCCCTAGTTCAAGCAAGTATATCTCCTTCATCCAGACTCCTTTGCAGGTCATTCTTGAGTCTAAATTGAAGCCCCGGAAGTCTTCTTTCCAATGGTGACAGCCTTACATCAAAATTCTAAGTGTGCAAAAAGATATTCGTATTTTAGTGAAGACTGCTCAGTTTCAGTCCTAACCGGATTAATGCCCAACTTCAACCAACCAAATCTCCCTCATCCGGACTCGGCTTTAAGAGATTCTTGAGTGTAAAATGAAGCCCCGGAAGTCCACTTTCCAATGGTGGTGGCCTCATAGCTGAAATCCAAGTGTACAAAAGGATAGGCCTAATTTAGTGAAGCTGCCCAGTTCCCTCTTAACGGTTTATGCCCAACTTCTTCCCCAACTTGGTTTCTTCCCTCTCCTCCAATTTTCTTCAACTCCAAACCTCTATATAAGGTGTTTTGAAAGATTTTCCAAAGAGTTTCTCTCTTTCATTCATTTCCACTTTGTCCTTACTCAGTTTATCGAAAAGAGCAACATTTAACAAAATGCGAGCCTCAGAATATCGTAGAAGAATTTTCAAAAATATTTTGAAAGAGAGGGTTTTAAGATCTAAAATTATTTCGGTCAAAAAACTTTTGATCCAAAATGGGGTGTAAGGTTGGGATTTGAAGCTCTCTTTGCTAAAGAAATCAAACATTTGCACAACATAGCTTTCACTATCGAATGATCAATCAGTGGTGCCCACGTGTGAAGGGCAGTCAAAAAATGGAGTGTCTATAATTTAGTCAGGACATTCCGTTCAATTGTTGATGGAATGTAATGGCAGGGGCCAAATTGATCAAAATTTCGAAAGTTTAGGTGTAAAATTGATACTAATCAAAACATGGGGGTCAAATTGAAGAATGTGTGAAAGGTTGGCAGGCGAAATAATATTCTCTCTAAATTGGACCATAGTAAGTGAAATACATTGAGAAAAATCCAATCATTTAGGAACTAAATAACAAAAAATATAAATAAATAAATAATTCTATAGTTTAAGAACCAATAATACTTGAGGGTAGAAAGAGTAATTTACTCTAACAAATTGACTAGAAGCCTTCGATAATCTTAACTTCAAGTCTTCAATAATGTTAAAATTGACTAATAGTCTTCAATAATGTTAAAATTCACCAAGTCCTTGTCAATCCCCATTACAAATTTTTATTTTTTTCATTCTTTTCTTTCTTTGTTTTTTTCTTTTTCTTTTGAGGAGCTTTCTACAAATCCAAAGTACAAAACAGTCGTAGTCTTTTAACACTCATTGAAACTGTACAGTGTGTAATTATGTAAATTAAACTTGAATAACCTTCACTCTAACCATGGGCTAATTAGTTATATCCATAAATTTTGTGATTTTTCTCTCTTGTAAATTTGGTATTTGTAATTTTAATTATATTAGTTTTTCTCTCATATACTGTTTGCGAAATACCGGTGACGATGACGATGATGGTGTGATGTTGTCATAATGTTGGAATGTTGGGTCTAGAGAGAAGGTTTGGTTTAATTATGGATTTAAACTTTTAAATAAATATGTATTTAAAACATATAATCATGTTAAAGGGTGTACACTATATACAAATTATGAGATGTATGGAGTTGATTATCATAAAAAAAAATAGTCATATTCGCACACCACATTAGATATAACTAAAATAATATCATAATCAACATGATAATGAGTCATAACTAGCAACCCAACGTATATAACTAAGCAGGGTTGGCCCTGGGCTAATGCAAATAAAGCTTGTGCCTAGGACCCCAAAATTTTGGCTCAACATAGGACCCTCAAATTTGTTAGTTCTATATTATATTATAAGTTTAAAGTCCAATCATTTTTTATTATTTGAGGCCCAGTGTAACAGGTCCCAAAAAAAAAGGGCAAATTATCCATAAATCCTTTTTGAAAAATGTGTTTTATTTAATCCTAAAACCTTTTAGATAAACCCAAAAGTTCTATATCCATTTATCTTCCTTCTCTCCTTCACTCTATTTCATCTCTTTATCTATCTTTCTTTGATCTTCCTCTGATATTAGCAATGACCACAACCACACCTTCCTTGTTTTCTTTCTTTTTCTAATTTACAGTCACCCGTGGCTGGTGACCACCATGGATTGGGGTTCACCAGCAACCACCGAGCACTGACTCCTTACTTCACGCTTACTGAGGTAATAAATTTTTGACGAAGAAGAGTAGATCTACTCAAATCTGATGTAAATCTGAGTAGATCTACATCAGATCTGACTAGATCTAAACCAAAAATAATTAGCAAATGAGTACAACCCTCTCTTTATATCTGTTTTCCTTCGATCTTTTAGTTTTTTTACACACTTCTATTTTCCTGATATAATAGAGAAAATTGCTTAATTCTAAATAAGTTGTTTTCGAGTTTTAATTACAAGCGATAAAAACTATAAAATTTTACAGTTTCAGTTTTTTTTTTGTGCTGAAAAGATAAATACTTAGGCCTCGTTTGAGAACCCTCCATTTTAGTCAAAAAGCCAAAAAGTTACTAAATTAGCCAAAAAGCCAATAACCCATACCAAAAAGTCAAAGATTCTCTTTTCTCTCTATTTTTTGCACATCTTTTTGTAAAAAGCCAAAAAGTCATCCCAAACATACTAATTTTTTTTAGCTCATATTTTAGCCAAATAGCCAAAAAGTTACTAAATTAGTCTGTTCCCAAACGAGGCCTTAATAAAATCATGCTTTGAAACTGCAACATTTTACAGTTTCAAAACTTGTTTTTCAGTTTAATCAATATTTGAGATTATTTACTTAAACCTTAAAAAAATTGAAAATAACATGTTTTTTTTCTCATTGTAGCTATTTGTTGTTCTTTAAAAAAAAAAATTTCTTCTTTCAGTTTATTAATATTTAGTAAATTTTGCTATGTTTTTTCATTATAATTTCTCAATTTATTCTTCTTTTTTTTTTTTTGCAATATTCTGGACATTTTGGTGAGTCTCCGGTGATATTCTTGATGTCCAGCGAACGTTCTAAACATTTCGGTGACATTCAAAACACTCCGGTGATACTCTGGTAACTTCCCGGTGATGTTAAACATTCCGGCAAGTCTCTGGTGACTATCTGACCAAAGTCCGACGGTGGTGGATGTAGCAGCGTCTTTAAATGTTTTTAAAAGAAAATTAAGATTTTATGGTAATAATTAAAAATATGTAGGACTAATTGGTGCAAATATTTTCTTTTAGGATTAGATGGATTTTAAACTACGTGTATGAGACTTACCAGTAAATTCCCCTTTAAAAAATCTTGTTAGGCCCAATTGAAAAAATTTATATATAATCATTATTAGGCCCAATTAAAATTTTATATAATTAGTCCAAACAAATTGAAATATATTTAAATATATATTATATAATGAATCCAAACATAGTCACATGTCAAGATTTTAATAGAATAAATAACTTTATCTTAATTTTTTTGCCCACTCTCTTTATCATATTTTAATTGAATAACTTTAACCAAATTTTTTCCCTTAGTTAATTTTGTTTGCACTTTCTTTATCATAATTTAATTGAACAATTTTACCTTAATTTTTTCTCTAATTTTTTTCAATAATTTGTGTCTTGCTATCAAATAATCATTTCATTATCAAATATCAATGGATTATGCCTTGATTATTACTAAACTATAAAACAAGAAGACTATATTTTATCTTTTTGAGTCTTTGTAATGATTTTTTCGTATCTTAATATATAAAAATAAATTTTAATGATTATATGTGTCTTGTCCAAGCTCCTCCATGCTTTCTGATTTACCATAAACCTCAATACTTCATCAAACAATAAAAGCAATACTTCATGCCTAAAATATAAAAATAAAGTTTATCTTGTCCAAGCTCCTTCATGCTTCCTGATTTACCATAAGCCTCAATACTTCACCAAACAATAAAAGCAAAAGGATACCTGTATAGCTCTTCCACCATCAAGACATCCCACAGGAAGCATACTAAAAGCTGACATAGTTAACCCACACCTACAATGAGGACTAGAATGGTTAGCAATCTGTACATGGTGATAAAGAAACAATGTTCAAGAATGTGGCCTCACCAGCCAGAAATTACAAGAGGATGGACCCAAACTGTGGCTGTATGCATTTGCTCTGCAGGGACACATTAGCAAAATCTCAATCAGTATTGTCAAGATAACAATAATTTCAGTTTTAAAAAAAAAAAATTATATATCAAACCGACACTCAACTAAGTTAAAGAAGATAATTGAGATAATATTCAGTGCTTTAGCTTTACAATAGTTATACTATATATTTATCTTCCAAAATTGCAACAATTAAAGAACCACTAAGTTGATGAATCATACAATGAGATTATGGGAGACAGTAAGTGATCAATGCTTAAGGTGTTAGAGAATCAGTTTAAATTTATGCATGGCAAATCAACCAAGGCAACAATACATTTATTAACGCAGTTAATAGAAAAGTATTGGGAAAAAAAGGGATATACATATAGTTTTTATAGTTTCTAAAAAAGCTAGAGGGTGTTGGAAAAAAATAGCATCGGATATATTGATGTGATAAAAGACATGATGAGGGTGTGACTACAACTAGATCACCAAACTAGTGAATTTTTAATCGATGTTAAGAGTAAACTTTGAGTCATTACCTAGTGACCCTAGTCAAGGATAAATTAACTAAACACATTCAAGATAATATCCCATGATAAATGTTTTTTTGCAAATGATACTGTTATAGTGGATGACACTAAAGAAGAAAATAACACCAAATTAGAAATCTGAAAGAAAAAAAAAACTAGAGTCAAAATGATTTTAAAGTAGTAATAATAAAACTAAATATGCAGAATGTAACTTTGGTAACAACTAACGGGGAAATAATGAAGTGAATATTAAAAATCATAAGATAACAAAAGGTGAACATTTTTATTACCTAGGTTTGGTTATTAACAAGAATGGTGAGATTGACGACGATGTGATCCATATAATTAATGTGCATTAGCCCAAGTGGAGGAGTGTATCTAGCTTATTATGTCATCTATGAATATTAACAAAATTGAAAGGCAAAGTTTATAGAGAGCTATAAGGCCAACAATGATTTACGGAACAGAATGTTTGGCAACTAAGAAACAACACATTCATGAAATGTGCGTAACTAAGATGAAGATGCTTAGATGGATTTGTGGTAAAACTAAGAAAGATTGAATTTGAAATGAATATATTCATTAAGTGGTTGGAGTAACACCAATTAAAGTTAAATTGATAGAAAACAAGTGAAGATGATTTGATTATGTAGAACGAAGATCTATAGATGCAATGGTAAGGAAAAGTGATATGATCTCTATAAATGGAAATGTTAAGAGGAAGGAAAGACCTAAACTGACATGGCATGTCGTAATAAAAAAGATTAGTAATTTTTTTGGTTTCACTGAGCATATAACCCTTGATAGAACCAAATGACGAAAAATTATTAATGTAGCTAATCCTACTTGATTGGGACACAAGGTTTAGTTTGGTCTGGTATATTTTATTTATTTGCCATTTTTTTTTTCTTTTTTTCTTTATTAAGGCCCTAGCACATCAAGGGTCCCATCTAGGATTTTTGGTACAAGGTATAATCCAAAGGGGTATTATAACAATTAGGTCTAGGATTTATTGATATTTTGCATATGTATCACTTATCAGCCAATCAAAGCTATGAAAGCAAAGAAGAAACTTACGCATAACCTAAAGTGGCTCTGCTTATTAATCCAAGAAGCAAAGAACCTTGAAATAGCATGCTAGGAACCTGCACCAAATCCCCTGCAGCATTTGGGTTTGATGAAAGCAGCAAGCCAACAGCAAACATAGAAAAAGACAATGTCGCACCAGCAAAAGGAACCGCAAAGGAAATATCAACTTTTGTCTTTTGGTCAAGGAGAATAGATTTGAACTGCAGAAGCCAAGATTTGATGATTTTTAAGCACTAAAAAATAGGCATATCATAAATTTATGAAAAAATAGAACAGACAGATCATAATTCCAATCAACAAAAGTGAAAAGAAAAGAGAAAAAAAACTCAAAGATATAGGTAGAAAAATTGCATCTATGGATCAAATCAAAAGAGCAAAAAACAGATAACTGTCATAACAAAAAAATGCCTTTACCAAATAGAGTTGATCTCATTTATTGATGGTCATGGGACTATTATCTTATTGATGAAAGAAAATGCTGTTAAATGGCAGACTTGAGATCAATTCAGACTCACTAAAAGTTGATACAACAAATTATTTAAAAAGGGAAAATGCTAACCACTGGCCCATGGGCGGTGTTTAATGTTGGTATGTGTAAAACATACATTAAAATATATAGAGAGAGGGAGAGTGTACGGAAATATATAACATAATAAGAACTTCATTTAAATTAACATCCATCAAGTGATAAGTAGACATAATTACCTGAGTAATTGCACCGAAGCTTCCAAGAGTAATATTAGGAATGAAGAATGGAATGCTTAGTTTTACTTTCTTTGGGAAAGCAGCAAAAAAATGCCCAACTTCCTGTGTCAAATTAATTTCTCATTTACATATTCAAAAGATAACATACTACATGAGTGACTAATTAGGGTGGAATTAACCTTGAGGAGGAGAAAAAATATGGTGCAGTCTGGTTAAGTAGCATTTAACACTTACCATTTACCATTTTTTGTTTACAGAAAATAGGAAACATGTTCATCTTATTTTATTTTATTTTTTTTGCTAAAAACAAATAAAAAAACATGTTTGGTACACATGTTTTAAAATACCCAAAAACATAAACAAGAAAACATGTTTGGAGATTTGCCGAAGGGTGTGGCCGCCAGAGGGGGTGGGAGAGGGAAGTGGGAATGAAAACTTATTTTCAAAACAAGTGAAAACACAAATTTTGTGTTTCCTAAAATTTTGTAAAATTTGAAAATTGTTTCCATTTTTTGGAAATGAAAACAATTGTCAAAACAAAAACAAAAAAAGTAACATAACCGAACATATCCTTAAAACATGTTTGGTACTTTTTTTTTTTAAAAAAAAAAATATTTGTTTTCCAAACAAGGCTCCAAAATAAACACACACACACATAGAATGAGAAGGAAAAAAAAAAAAGAAGGAAGAAGAAGATGAAGTGTTTTTAACTTGTTTTGGCGGATTAACAATAAAAGGAAGCCCATTAAACTTCAAACTTTCTTGGGAAAAAAACAAAAGCATGTTCCTTTTCCTTTTCTTATTTTTTTTTCAAAAAACAAGAAACACGCATCGAACCAAACAACAACTAAGTTACAATGCAGAACAAAACAAAGTTATGCAACCAATGAATACAACAAGTGCAAGTTATGGCATTCTCTTTTGTAGCATCCATTATCAGCAATTCAATACATATGCAGCTTCCAACAATCTCATGCACAGAATGCACAATGTATACATTAGGCAGCTAGAGGAAACAATGGCACAGGCATAAAATTTCAAGTATTGCCAACTCGAGATGAGTAATGCTTTCTGTGAAACAACCAAAAGTAAATAACAAAAGCTGTGACATTATATTAGGATATTTTCATAGTGAATAAATGCCTCATGAGTACTTCAGCCCATATATCTGTACACAATAAAAAAACTTGCATAAAGAAAATATAGGAAGTTTAGTCCCCCGTATTCAACTCCATTATAGAACCAGAAAAGTTCTAAGTAGGTCAGCCAAGACAAAGTGCCACATGATAGTGTTCGATAAATGCAACATGACTAATTGGTTGATGACATTGGAGATTTATTGATGGGGAGAGAAAGATCAAGATACATTTAGCTCACAAAAAGGGACCCAAAGAATAAGCAGCTTTGCTGCGTCTCTTTTTCTTTTTTCCTTTTTTTTTTTTTTTTTGCTAGCAATTGTTGTGCCGTGTATGAAGCATGTTGGCTATTGCTTATAAAATGGGACATTGGATCCAAAAGAATGTGATTGCATTGTGTTTTTTTCTTTTTAAACTCCTCTTTTGGTGTTTGTTCTATTGTGCTTTCACATATTCCAATCAAAATAAATGAGAGAGCATCAAAAATAATCATGATGAAATATAGTTTTTGTCTTGCACATTAATACATATAGCTGGCTTTTAAGTGAAAGCTCTTAATGAGATTGGTTTTACTAAAATAATTGTCTTAAGATGATTAAAAAACATATGATACGAATACAACATAGTAGAATTTCGTAGAAGTTAAGGCTATCAGGATATGCAATAAGGGACCACCAATTATTTCAACTGGAGAGGGACGAAATACTGAGAATGTGTGCCTTAGGACCAGTTTATGATTCTAAGATGAGAAGCAGGTAGCCAAAAAGAGCACATATAGCATTAGACAAAGACCTATTATCTAATGGTTCAAGTCAAAAACTTGGACTTTTACCAGATGAAGTGGTTTAAAACAATTAACAGTGCCATACGGAGGAGAATGGGAAAGATGGAGGAATGGATGTATATAACTATCTCGTGGGGCAACTTCTTTTTTTATTGAAGAAATTTACTTACTAGTCTACAGTTGATAAAGATTAAATGTAGGCTAGTTTAGTTTATAAGCTTAAGGCCTTGTAATCTTATGATAAGAAATTACAGATAACGAAGGTTAAAGGAACTATTTTCTGCATAAAGCCCGGCACAGGAAATAGTAATACACAATAAACATTTTTTTTCCCCTTAAGAAAAAGCATTCAATTAACTAAATCAACAAAAAGATAGAAATTCTTCTTACGTGAAATAGCTGAACCCCCAAAACACCATATGCCAGGGCAGAGTAGACTACACAAATGGGAACAAAAGCTGCATATCTGGTGGTTCAATGGCATTTGGATCTGTGAAGTACTTAACTACCTCTGGTGGAAGACTATTTATCTGCTTCATGAAAAATGCAATGAATGAACACATACACATGGAATAATCTACTCTATAAAAAGAATTTGATAAATGAAAAGGAGAGCGCAACTACTTTTAATACAATAATGTCTAAGTGTAAAAGCAATTAGTAATACCTGAGATGCAATTCCTAGCTCCACCGAGGAACCAATAGTGAGAACAAATAACAATAGAGCAATCACATATTGCCGTAGTGTTGCTGGGCCGGGTTCTGAAACCTCTTTACCCAGCATACCAAAACTGACACGGGGTCCACCGCGGGTCTGGTCCTTCAGAATTGGGTTCCTCCACCATAAATAAATTGTACTTATCGCCCATGAGTTCAGCCAGCTGACTCTGAAGTTTGGAAAAACTTCCTCTCTCTTTCCCCTAAGATTGCCAAGAAAAAGAATGCCCTCCCCTAGATCTCCAAATGGCTCTTCTTTGGTCACCCATAAGGTGGAATAGCCAAAAAGCTTTTTCTTAATAAGGGTTTTCTCAATTTTCATAAAATTAGAACCAATTCATTTCCTGCATTTTCAGCTACCAAACAGATTTCATTCTCATCATCCTTTCCCAAATTAGATATAACTTTCAAATCAAACACACTAATTAACCAAAAAAACACATACTATGAGAGATAGAGAGAAAAAATCTCACCCTTGATGAAATAGAAGCCTTGGACTCGTCCGAATCAAAATCGTCGCTGCTCTGTGCTCTCTCTTCCGCCTCGTCTCTCGATGTCGTTGTCGCCAAACAAACAAAAATTGCTCTTTCGCTCGAATAGTTCAATTCTTTTCCTGGAAGCACTACTAATGAGACTCCATTGGAGGTTTAGGTTAACGGTTCTTAAACTACGGCCCGTTGAGATTTCCCATTGTTTGCGATATATGTCTATGCATATATACATATATATATATATATATATTGGAGATATTTTCTCTAACAAAATTCAATAAAGACAAAAACCATAGTACATGTAATAAAGAAATAAAGACAAAAACCATAGTACATGTAATAAAGAAATAAATAAATGGCATATTTTTTTATTTTTTTTTTTGGTGATTTTTTTTTTCATTTATTACAATTTTTTATTTTCAAAGTACGGAGTTTTAATGCCTTATATGTCTATGTATATGTATGCATATATATTAGAGATATTTTCTCTAAAAAATTCAACAATGACAAATATAAATATACAGATATAATAAATAATTGGCATATTTTTGTATTTTTTGTGTTAGTATGTTAATTATATTTTTAATGTTTAATGTATGAATCTTGTGTTATTTAAAATTGCTCTTTCGCTTGAACAGTTCAATTCTTTTCCTGGAAGTACTACCAATGGTACTCCATTGGAGGTTTAGGTTAACGGTCCTGAAACTACAGCTCGTGAGAGTTCCCATTGATAGTGATATATGTACATGCATATATATATTATGGGGATATTTTCTCTAACAAAATTCAATAAAGACAACCATAGTAAATAAATGGCATATTTTTGTTTTTTTTTTTATTTATTACAATTTTTTATTTTCAAAGTACGGAGTTTTAATGCCTTATATGTCTATGTATATGTATGCATATATATTAGAGATATTTTCTCTAAAAAATTCAACAATGACAAATATAAATATACAGATATAACAACTAATTGGCATATTTTTGTATTTTTCGTGTTAGTAAGGTAATTATATTTTTAATGTTTAATGTATGAATCTTGTGTTATTTTGATTTCAAATATTCAAATTGTGCTAATTTGTCAACAAATATATAAAATACGTTTTAAAATGTTTCAATTTGATTATCTAACCAAATCATTAAAGTCAATAGTGAATGTATAATTTTGAATATCAAAATGACACATGTCCCGTGTTTTAAAAATCAAAAGAGTAATTTATTAAACATATTTCTACTTAAATGACATATATCACTTATTTTTTAAGTTAAAAGTATAACGTAAAAAATGAGTTTTCATATTTGGCATTAGGTTTAACCATGTATATCTTAATAAAGTCTTCATATGATATGATATGAATATATTGTTCAAAAACCTCAGTATACTCATGTAAATTGTGTGTGAAATATAAAACAGAATCAAGCTCATAATGCACAAACCAAATTGATACTAATTTAATTGTTAATTATATAAACTAATTGCAAATTAAACAAATTACAACAACAAATGAATTTGGAAAAAAAAAAAAACAGGCTTACAAAACGCTTGCAGAAGGGAGATGAATGACGAACTAGGTTGAGCGTTTCATACTCTCTTTTTAAGACAAAATCTTCATTCTCACGATACTTCAGAATACTAGCCATCTATCTCCAAGAGAAATTCTATTTTCATGCACCCTTTCATCTTTGTGCACACACTTAATGAAACAAAATTTTAATGACAATTTTATTATGAAGCAAAATGACCATAATGAATATCAAAACACTATGAAACCTAAAGCTTTGTTTGGCATTGGCTAATATAGCCAACTTTTTTGTGTTGGGACTTTTTCAGCCTGGCTTGGTTTGGATTTTTTGGCATGTTTGATTTTTGTAAGAGAAAAAGTATAATGATTATAGGTTGGATGTGATATTTTGTCTTATTAACTTATTTAGCCTATTTTGTCATTTTGTACCTTTTTAGCCCCAAAATGATAGCCAAACTAGGGCTAAGTTTCCTCTATACACATCTTTTAAAAACAATAATTCTGAGTTCACATCTTTTGAGAAATTTTTTTTTAAAACTTCCTCTATTGTTCTTCTTTATTTGCTACACACTCTATTATCCTCTTGCTTGCTTGGGTAATACTCTAATATTACTTTACTCTCTAGGTTCTTAGTACTCAAAAAAGTGTGCAGCTTATTTGGTTTTGGTTTCCAGAAAACTGAAACTAAACACACTGATTTGGATTCAATCTTCTGGAAATTGAATTTTTTATTTTTCGTGTTTCATTTTTTTATTTTTAGTGATTTTTTTTAAAGTTTAAGCAATTTTTTACTTTTTTAGATGCATATTACTTAGATGTATCTAAAAAGTAAAATATTTATAAAAAAAATATTTTAAAAAATAACAAATACACAAGAATATGCAAAATATGTTGAATTTATATATATATATATATATATATATTTTATATTTTTGGTATTTAGTGAATTTTTTAATTTTTTTTACAAATATTATACTTTTTAAGTGTATTTATATTAGGTATGTCTACAAATTTTAAAAAAAAAATGCTTAAAATGTTAAAAAATTCAGTGAAAAAAAAAAACGAAAAACAAAGTTTCAATCTTCTGAAAAGTAAATTCAGAAAACTCAAACCAAACAAGTTGAATACTCTTTAATTTTTTTTCATAAATGATCTATACCCCAAAAAAACCAAAGTTCCGAAAAAGATTTTCAGCCTGTACTTTCTGCTTTTCTCTTTTTGTTTGCAAACTAGAAATCTCTTCTTGTTCACGCTTATCTCACCTTCTATCATCATCATTACAAAAAGGTTCATACAAGAATTAATAAAAAAAAAAAAAAAAAAGCAAAAAAAGATGACAAAATAATAGAGCATCTTGGGTAATACTCCATTGTTCTTGCTTGCTTGGGTATGTTGGTGTGTTTACCGTGGTTAGGTGTTTCATAGTGGGTGGAAACCTATTTAGGTGATGTGTTTATAAGATTTGAGTTAGGACTATAATTGGAATATGTGATGTGTGGAATGAGAATAATAATACCTAACCAAATTCATAAATGTGTGCATTGAGATATAATGTGCACAAATATGAACAAGTGTGTAGAAATAGAATTACTCTATCTCCAGAGATGAAATGTGTTCGCAATCAAGTCACAATATAACGAGAAGATTGTCGACAAACCACAATTATGTATGTACTTACTCATTGGAAAATGAAACTGTAAGGTATGTAGAGTATGAAGTAGAGGAAGAGAAAGGAAGCGAATGAATAGTGACAATTTGTCGATACATAAAATGGCTAGAGGGATTGCTAACATATGGGCAATAAACATTTGTTTGGACAGGCTGAAAGTGGTTCTAAATGATTGTGATCAAAAAATTTCAAAGAGAAGTTGAAAAAATTATGTTTTGTGAGAGGGGGGAAATTGAAGACATTAAATTCAAAATTCCAACTCAAATTGCAAAGGCGAGAAAAGCATGAAGAAGTTTAGGCCTGAAATTCTCGGGTAAAATACATGATTCTTGGAAGACAAGAAAAGTATGATGAAGAAAGGTGCAAATCCTGGTCCAGGGGGCTTGGGACTTGAAAGGTTCAATGAACCCAAAAACCAAACGTGGTCGAAACACAAAAGTTTAAATGACCTCCGAAATCCATGCACTTAGCTTCACAATATTCTACGAATCTAGAAGTCACAACGTAAAGTGGGTTCCAGAGCAATATGAAGTCTTGGAGCCATTCCGATTATGACGCGTAGAATGGTAAGTTGCGATTGAAGTCAGTGACCCTCTCTTGAAGATCTGAAACTCGCCGCCTATACCCAAAGCCTAGGTGGCAAGACTTGGGGGGTCTTCCGAGACTCAGCAAATCTTGTGGCAATATGTTTTTTAAAACTACCCCTGATCCTATTTTGAGATGTTGGGAATTGTTGGATTAGTGACTAAAGACAAAGTATTGCCGATGTAATTCATAATGCTCTTGAACGGTCTATTATCCTCGACGGATTATTTGAGGGAAAGGCACAAAGTCCTCAAGGTTTACAATTACCTTGACTTGATAGTTAGAAAGAATCTTTTCCCTACGTGTTCCCTTGGACACATGGCATCACTACAATCGATTGCTTAAGCCATAAGCCAATCTTGGGGGTGTATAAATACGTACCACTCATCAAAACTCCACAAAAAAAGAAATCACTTCATATCTCTTTCTTAGAGACTTACTTATAGGATCTTGAAGAGCTTTGGAAAAGTGAGAGCTCTTGAAGTCATTTATCTAATCATTTAAAACTTAATTATTTGATTTATTTAATATAAACCATTAATATATTTTTGCTAAGTAAAATCGATGAAAGAAAGGGCATTAGGTCCATAAATCCAATTTTGATTTTTTTTTTTTTTTCGGTCCAAAGGCCTACACTTTAAAATACTTTGTTCATAAGGACAAGGTTCTGCAAAATGACTAAACTACCTAGGTATATATATATGGTATACACATGAACCAAACCTAGCCCCCTATCTCTCTCTTCTCTCCTACGGTCGACTATCATGTCTCTTTCCTGCGATCATCATTGTTGCCTTATCGTTGTCGCCTTATCACCATTCTTCACTTCCTCATTTTTTCTATTCAACGCGCTGCAACCGTTGTCGATCTCCTCCTCTGTGGCTTCGGAGACACCACCGTAGTGCCGCCCGGTGTTGGCTAATGATCTTTTTTTCTTTTCTTTCTCTTTGTGATGACAACGACGACTTAGATTTGGCCCTCCTTCGCGACATCGGACTTCGTTGCTTCAGATCTGGAGTCGTCAAAGCTTTGGTGGGCCTTTATTCGCAAGTCCACTTCGGTTCTACCTCGCAAGTGAATCCCTCCTAGTTGGCTTAAGATCTCAGTGGATTGATTAGCAATTCTTCAATCAACAGCTTTGATCTTTTTGCCGATTCGCCTCTTCTCATGTCTCTGTCTGTGCCGTATCTTACTCCGACGAACTTGTCAAAACTGCCATGAGTTCGATATATAGACACACATAATATGCATCAATGAGCTAAATTTGTTGTATTTTATTTTTGTTTATTTATTTATTTTGTGTTTTAATTATTGAAAGTTGTGAAAGTCACTGATTGATCATATTTCTACTAGAATTTCTTGTGATCATATAGGTTGAATAGAGCATCTGCATGTGTTGCAAAGAAACACTACAGGAAATCATGGA